TTTTGCAGATATATCGTATATTAAATACCAGAAGAGTATTACACAACTAGCGAGAGTCTATCGTATGAACTAGCGCTCAGCCTATTCATTGTTAATATTTAACAGTCACCCCAGACGAGGGATGTATGTAACACAAGGCCGGGTTTACTGTGGGTTCTCCAAGACCGTAGGCTCGGCCAAAAACATTCCCTTAGAACCCGCATAAACGGGTTCAGGGCCTTTCGGCAAAGTTTCGTCTGGGTTCTTCTCCGCTCAAAGCAGCGAGTTCGACAGCACAGTGCGAACAGATTCTGTTCGACTGATCCCTGTTCCTTCTCTCCTACTAAACTTATAGTAGGCGGAAGAGTCTAACATAGACTCTTAGAGGGAGGACACCACAATATCTACATAACACACATTAAATTGAATAATTGAACGCATATATAGCTATAGTAATTATTATTATTATTAGTAGTAGTAGTAGTAGCATTAGTAGTAGTATTGTTATTATATATATATATATATATATATATATATATGTGTGTGTGTGCGTGTGTGTGTGTGTGTGTGTAAACGTTAGGTACGGTGGATTAGGGGATAGCATTACGGACTGAGGAACCCGAGTTCGAATTCCAGTCGTGCTAATACCCTTGAAAAAGGTATTAATCCTCTTCTTCCCCCTCCAGCTATGGGTAAATAGCAGGACAGACTGGATTGTATAGTCTTGGATTACAACTCTAGACCTAGACAACTCTGAATTCAAAACCTGCGGAGACCTGCGTTTGGGGACCTTGTGGCACGTAGTGCACCAGGTCTCTGTATTCGGCCCTTCAAAAAGTGTGCTTGGTTCTGCAGAATAGTGGGAAAGTTTTTGACCGGCGATTTTCACCGACGCGATTTGTGTTAGGCTCGGCTTCTTCAGGTTGGAATGAAGGGCAAAAGACTGTCGTCGATTTAATTTATTGCCCCTGTTCCAATCCTGTCGGATGGCACATATTTTTTTCTAACAAGAAAAACGGCAGACGGAAATAAATAAATATTCCATTTAATATATATATATATAGAAAGAAAATGAGTAAATACCGACACTCAGGTTCGATCGTGACACTCTGGACTTATGACTATATGCTTTCCGCCAGGTGTATATACAGCGGTGTCAGGCTACTGACTGCAGTGATTATTGAGGGACTATTGAGTGGAACTATCCAGTCGAATTAGTGTGAATTTTTGTGCGTCGACGATGGGTTTTGATTTAGGATTTACCGGACGTTAAGACGAGCCGCGCTACTAACAAGGTATTCACTGAAATGGTTAATTATCTTTGGTCGACTTTGTTCTTGTTAAGTAGTTATTTGCCGTTGTAATTAAATACTGCTTTGTCTTGACATTGAAATCTTGAGTTATACTTTATCATTTAACGTCGCAAAAAATAAGCCTCAACACGAATACGAGTTTCCATTAAAAATAACGTTTAAATAATAAAACTGTCTCGGATTAATAAATAAAATCTGCCATCCATTTTCTTTGCTTTGTATAAGTTAGAATACGAAACTGAATAGATATGTGTATTTTAAGAGGCAGAGAAAAATTCGTGTTTAAATGCACTATTCAAAGTATGGATTACCCAGTGAGAAATCCATCCCTTTCTTTAGAAATTGCTTTGTTTACGTTAGGATACGAAACTCAGTAGATATGTCTATTTCAAGACACAGAAAAAGTCCGTGTTTAAAGGCACTATTCAGAGTATGGATCATCCACAAAGGATCGTTAGGTTGGCAAGGTCGAATTTACTGCTTATAAACTTCATCCTTTGTGGCCGAGAGGTTAGTCACGTCAAGCTAAATGACGGTCCCGTATAGGATGCAGGTTCGAATCCGGTCAAAGGACGAATATTTTCAATGAAAATTTCTCGGACATTCAGGCCGGTAAATGTTATTTAATACTGTTTATTATAAACAGAGCATTTACTTAAATACTTGTATCTATAAAAAGAATGTTAAACATAAAAATGTCTTTAATAAATTGTCGGATTTTGTCCATTTCTTAATGTATGACGTCATTTGTTTACATTTGATACGCCATGAGCAGTTATGAATGTACGAGATTCATGGAAGATTGAAGTTTATAAGCAGTAAATTCGACCTTGTCAATCGAACGATCCTTTGTGGCTGAGAGGTTAGGCACGTCAAACTATAATGGCGGTTCCGTATAGGATGCAGGTTCGAATCCTGTCAAAGGAGAGAATATTTTCCATAAAATTTTCTCGGACATTCAGGTCGGTAAATGTTATTTAATACTGTTTATTATAAACAGAGAATTTACTTAAATACTTGTATCTATAAAAAGAATGTTAAACATAAAAATGTCTATATATGCTGTTTTTATTAATCTTCGTCTATTTTAGTCTTTCCTCGATCGGCTTCTATAACATGAGGAACTTTTATGGCTTTATTCTCTGTCTTTTGTTCGATTTACCTTCTAGATACATATTACAAATTATTTGTTCGTTTTTTTTCTCCATGTTTTTTTTTTGGAGGGGGGGATGTTTATTTTGAAATGTTCCTTGAACTTCCATAGCATTATTATTATTATTACTATTTCTTTTGATTTCTGTTTTATACATATTTCCATACGGGTTCTAATCTAAGTTCAGAAATGGCTTCATGACATTTTCCACTTATCATTTTTGTAAAAAAGCAAAACAAAAAAAATTATTATCACACATATTTTTACAGAGATAAAGCTCTTCGTAATATATGAACTCTACTTGTGAGTACAAATTTGCTATTTCTTTAAAGCATAGGCTACCCGTAATCTCCTAATTGCGTCTATCAGAACTTTTTCCCAACTACATCTGGAATTATTGTTGTCCTGATGTGCCATATATATTTTTTAATTTTTCACTTCAAGATTGTATTTTGATAGTTTTTCGAAGATCTTCAAAAATATATTACAAATCTGAGGGGGCTGCCATATCAATAAAAAGTAAATTCTGCTTTTGTGA